CCCCTGGGCAGGCTCCTGGGAGCTGCCAGCCTGGTCCTGGGAAGAGGCTGAGGGCTGGGTGGCAGTGGTCTGCTGGCTGGGTGCTGGCAGGCTTGCAACTGGGACAAGCACTGTAGCCAAACCATGGCCCTTTAAGGGCTCCGGGGCTGGGGGGGGGAGCAGAAGAGTATTCCTGGTTGTGCCCAGAGTGGCCACTAGGGCACCCTGGGAAGGGCTGGAGGCCCCGTATTTCAAAATCAGCATCTACACAGCGCTTATTTCGATTTAGCTATTTCAAATTTGGCGTTATTCCTCATGGAATGAGGTTTACCAAATTTGAAATAAGCGCTCAGTTATTTCAATTTAATTTTGAAATATCGGTTTGGCTGTGTAGATGCTAGGAAAGTTATTTCGAAATAACTTTTCTGTGTAGACATACCTTAAGAGAAGAGTCTGGAGTTGCATCAATAATAATCGAAAACTACTTTGCAAGTCATATCTCTTCAAGAATTGTTGTTTGCACAAAGGTCCTACATAGCTCGGTAAGCTTGTTTTATATTTTAGTAGACAGATAATGGACTCTTGTGATTAGTGAACATGCTTAACATTGCCTGATAAAAGTGGGTCATACTTGATAAGAAGCTCAAGTATACCAAGAAAGTTTCCTTTTATATGGTCACCGATATGTTGACTGGAACCAGGCAAAGCCAATCTCCATTCAGAAAGAAAAAGAATGACATTAAATATGTGGTCAAGGAGTTTTTTCCAGTTATCAGTTTCTGCGTTTATTTAACTCAGGAGTAAGTTTTCAATTGAACTGTCAGATAGTGCTGCTCTCTAGCTGATTTCCATATATTTTTATGCGATACTGAAGTTTCATGTGCAGGTATTTGGCGTTTCAACTTCCTCCAACCTCTACTGATGCTCCAACCAGATGGATTAGACAGTATTGATGCAGTTGATATATTACTGTTAAAAACGAAGCAGGGTTCACAGTACAGAGCCTGCTGATTAGACAGTACTGATGCAGTTGATGTATTACTGTTAAAAACGAAGCAGGGTTCACAGTACAGAGCCTGCTTTTCCCTGCTCCAGCAGAGCCAGTCTCTGCTGGAGCTCTCTCCATTTGGACAAGTTTTTGTCAGCAGATGACTGGGAAAAACATGATTTTCAACATCTTTCAGTAATTACATGGAATCTGAAAACAACTAACTTTGAGAAACGACAGTATTTGAGCAACATTGTTCTTATCAAGATGTCCAATATTAGGTTCTGATGTCAGTTACACTGTATCTTGTGCAAATCATAAGTTCTTGCTCTTGCTGTGCAGCTGTTACACTGTATCTTGTGCAAATCGTAAGTTTTTGCTCTTGCTGCGCAGCATCTCCGAGGTCCTCATTTTCTGCCTGCATAGTCTTTAAATTAAGTGTAGATTCAACATGTATTGCTACGATTGGCATTTCTGTGTCTTGATTAATGACCTCCTCATTTTGCGCATGTATTGCTACTATTGGCATTTTTGTGTCTTGATTAATGACCTCCTCATTTTGTGGCATTGGAATGTCATTTGTGGATACAAAGTTTTCATAATCAGAGATGGAAGTGTCACTGAAATTATGGTCACCGTCTAACGGCTGAGGCATCTTTTCTACGAGAAATGATGTTATTGGCTTTAGACTCTTAACTGCTGCTTCACTCTGTTGCTTTTGTCGTCTCTTACTTACACCACTTTCAAATCTTTGCTTCATTTTCAGAAAGGGGTTCTTTTAAAACACAGTAACATTCAATAAATTAATTTGCTAAAGGCTATTGGTTATAGAAAATTTTAATTGTATATACTTTGCAATTAATATTATATAAAAACTATTTGGGGGTGTTATTTACTATGGCCCTTATAGCCTTATTTCAAAGTCTTGAAATTTTGTCTGCTAACATGTTCCCATTATTAAATTACTCTAATAACTGGTGCATTATTATGAATATGAACATGAGGTGATTGCCAGATTAGATATAAAGTTTATTAAACAACTAGAATTAAAAGTTTATCACAAAAAAAGCCTTTAAAGGTGAATCTGAAACTGAATGGAGAGGTAGCTTACAGCTGAGCCTGATATGGGTATTTTATACTAAGACACATAAGAAAAAATAGGAATACAGAAATCTCCTACGCAGAGATAAACACCTAATTTAAAAGTTAAACCCACCCTCAAACCAAGCAAAATCACTTTAGAGTAACAGAATTAATTATGACTTTCAAAACCTTTAAACTAAGCAAAGACTGTAAACAGCATTTCATATCGTAGAATCATTAATCACAGAAGCTAATCCAGTCTTCAGTCACGCAGATGAAAACTTGGATGTGACCGAAAAATTGGTGAAGGCCCGAGGTCCCACAATGATTTAAATCAATTTTTTTGCCAGCATAAAGAGTTTCTTTTGTTGTCTCTGTTATAACTACAAGGTGTGTAATAAATAGAAATGACTTGGTAGAGAAATGTCAAAATTTGAGGCCCCTTTGTCTCCTGAGGCCCAGGACAAATGACTCTCCTGCCCCCCTTTTCCTCCCGCCATAGGCCTGCCAACACATTGGGAGCATGTCTTGCAAATTAAGGCACCACAGAGCCCTTTGGGGGAAACAGCAGTGTTGACATATGAGCATAGTGACATCCTGCCAAAGTCTTGATGTCACAATGGAAATGCTTATGTAAATATGCAACCATGTGTCTAAGTCCTTGAGACGCCAGCACCTGAGAAATAACAAAATAAAATGCTGGTCAAGAGGAAGCAAAAACTGGTAGGGAAAAAAGTTGATTTGTGTGCTTCTCTTAAGGGCAAGGAAAGAAATCCCAACAGCCAAGCAACATATCTGTAAATGCAATTGTCAATATCACAGGTAGTTGATTTGTATACAGTTGACATTCAGAGACTGGGAGTGCACAAGGTCACTAGCACTATGCATAAATAATCACACTTGTAAAATAAACTGTGTTTAATTGTAGGTGATTGACAATGAGAGGGTTAATTCAGTTGTTTTTCCAGATGTAGGTCAGGAACGTGCATTTCTCTTCAATGGGGGAGGCCAATTATTTAAGCTCTGCCTGCACTGAGAGCAGGACAAGGCTTAACATGTTTAAACATGATTTTTGCTAACAGGGTTTTAATATTATTTTACTGTGTCGTATCAACAGGGAACTTTTGTCTGAGAACCATGTTGGAACTATGGGATGCAATAATGCTACAAAAATAGCAACATTGGGGATCCCACTTAAAAGGAAGTTGCCCACTGACTCGTTCCGTTTTGTAGTAAAGAGCTGAATTCTTAAAACACAGCTGGGTCTCATCAACATTGCCTAATGGCACCCTGGAGGGGACTACTTATGTGTTTTAATGAGATCCCCTGATATTGCTGAATTCATAGCAGAGATGGACCCCATATATCACCTTGTGGGAAGACAGTTTGTAGCAAAATTAAAATAATCTCTATTTACACTGGTCATGTAAATTGCGCTAGAATCCTGTTAGCAACAACAGCGATGTGTACCCAATTCACTACAGCCTTGAGCCTTGTGCAGCCATTCACAGCTGTGCATAGTCAGTGAAAAATGGCTATAAAATGCTGTTAATTTAATTTAACATTTTACAACCACTTTGCACAGGTGTAAATGGCTACACAAGGTACAAGACAGTGGAAAAATTAAGGCATGTGTGCTGAAACGAAAGTGCTTCCATTGGCTTCAGTGGATGTTGGACCGGACCTCTGGTTCCGAGATAGTATTGGCAGAGTCAGGGCTGCGTATTGATGATACAGCAGTGTTCCTGATGAAAGCATAGGCAAGGTGCCCAAGGAAATTTGGGGCTGAGTTATTTTATCAATCCAGATTTTACTGTACCTTTGGGAGGTTACCTTTTATATTATTTATTTTATAGATAATTTGACATTTGTAAATTTGTATATAAAATTAATTTTGTTGCAGTTTGTGGTATTTAGTGTAGGAGTCACTTCTGGCTTGCTAACTTACTGTAGGGCTAACCAATAAGTGACAGGTCCATAGCTGTTATAAAAAGTCTGGTAGTGAAGCGTAGCTCTATCTATTGAGTAGGTCCATCTAATTCTGTCCCAGCTGAAGTTAATGAGAATATAATCAGATCCATAGATACTGTTATGCTGGAAAATGTCAATGTTTACCAGCAAGCTTCTCTTTGATCTCTATTCTTTAGGCAATCACAGACCTCATTAAAGATGATGGGCTTTCCAGTCACCCTTCACTCAGATTAAATGGAAGAAGCAATTAAATTCTTTTGGGGAGTAAGGTCACTGAAACAACAGAAGTCACTGAGTAGGGCACTAGGGCCACATGGGAAGGCCTGAGCAAGAACTTAACTCAGGGAGAAGTGCCATCTCTGGGGATTGATTGCAAAGGCAGGCACTGGGACATGGGTTATATCTATGTTTGTGAAGGTGTCAGAACCAGAAAGGACCCAGAGAGCCATAGCAGACAGCAGCGCTTGACTTGGTGTATGTTTTTGGTGCAACCTATTTATATATAAAGAAATATATATTATTATAAATCATATTAATAGTTTCTCTTCCCAGTGGAAACAACCAGTCATGACACCAAACACTGGCTAACTGCTTAAGCCAAGGAGTAACAGTATGTAAAACTACAGATCATACCACTATTTAAATACACACAGGCCTAGCAGAGGTTGGTTCAATCTCAGAATTTGTGATCCGAAAACTGCAGTTGGTCACTTTAACAGGATGGCTTTCCCCTTAAGGGTTAGGTGTCAGGAGCAGGCTTACCCCATTTACTCAGTTGTTACACCTGAGCAGGGATGACCTGATTTGTCCCCCCCCCCCTTTTTTTTTTTTGCTCAACATCTTTGGTCTTCCCCCTTTTTTCTCTCAACGGAATTTTTTCCTCGGGGGTGGGGGGAGAGGAGGTGTTCGACTGGGATGGAAAACTTTTGTGTTTATTTGTAAACATATGAATAAAATCAGACCATGAGGAGGGCTGTTGTTGTTTGACTCATGAAAACTTGTGTGGAGTTTATTTCAAGAAGCCACTTGAAAGGGGAAATTGAGGTGAGTGGCTACTTACAGGGTTCTTATAAGGCCCTATGGGGGTGCCTGAGTGTAGGCTACTTACTGATCATCACTTCAATCAGTGATTAATGGTTCCATCTTCAGTTGATAGTATTCCCACGATGCCGTCTAGCTTTCATGGAATGATTGTGAGAAATTGCTCTCTTTACTCTCCCTCTCCCATAAATCAGCTCTTGTGGGGTACTAACAATGTTCAGATGTGCCTTAAAAACTACTTTGTCAAATACAAGATATGTATATGTGTAAGGTTTATACATGTGTACGGTGTTACAGATAGATAGAGTTATTCATCGTGAATCTTTTTCTAAATGTGGTTGTCTTGTAATCTTGGTGCTAGTGTGGTGCCATCAGCACGGCATCTGTTAGGAGTTTACTTTTATATTTAGGACCCTATCAGCAACTTCATAGCATGGCTCAGAATAGATCATCCCCCCTAGATCAGAACATGGAGGAGACCATTTGTGTTTGGCTCTCTTCCCAGCTGTGTTCACTGAATCATTCCCCTCTTCCATCATCTGCACCCCATATGAGATTCTGTACAAGTTGGGGTGTGCTAAGAAGGTAAGTGAAAAAGGCAAGATGGGGGCAGGGGATGATATACCTTGTCAACTTGAGAATTTCCTAATAAGATTTATAGCCCTAGGCTGCATTGTCTTCTGGAGTTTTCTCCTAGGAGTCCTGGGGATAACTGTGATAAATGACAAGGAGTCTTTTTGGCACTTTAAAAACTAATGGACTTATTGGGGCATAAGCTTTCATGGGTAATAACCACTTCATCAGATGCATCTGACTCAGTGGTTTTTACCCACAAAAGCTTATACCCAAATAAATGTTAGCTTTTAAGGTGCCACAGGATGTTTGTGTAGATCTAGGCTAACACGGCTACCCCTCTGAGACTTGTGACAAATGAGTTGCTGGTAGCATGACTCCTAGGATGCTTTATTGCCAGGGATTCAGAGATGGGGCTGTCAGAGACTGCAAGGAGGTGTTTGATTGGTTCTGGCTTCCTGAATAGCCCTTAGGATCTGCCAGGTTTTTAGTGTATGAGGTTTCACAGCATTTTCAGAACAGAAGCCCTTCTAGTGAGACAGGCTTGTGGAACTGCAGAATGAACAGGATTCAAGGCCTATCAGTTGTGTAACTCCATGTGGGCTACAACAACATTGCATGTATGGATGGCACTACATTCTGCTCTGCTGGTCACCTCATCTGACAAAAAGGCTCTAGCAGGAGTCCTGCTACCGTTAGCTGAGCTTTCCTGTTAGTCTCACAGGAGAGAATGCTTTGAGCACCGTTGACTAGGAAGTCAATACATTTCCACACTGAAATCCTGGGACTGATCGGGAAATTATACTGTCTGGTCCTTTGCCTCAATCCCTGACCACAGGTCCCAGCCCTAAAACTTAGCAGAGAGAAGACCTTGTGGAGAAACCACAGAGAAATTTCATAAGATCACAATGAAGACAAGATACTGCAGGAGGCCAATTCTCACTTCAGTGCCATCAAGGAAGTCCAGCCCATGTAGAATTCTTTCTGTTTGTGTAAGTGGATCCAGCCAGAGGGTAGCAGAAAGAAAAAATGAATGCCAGCCAAAGGAGTTAAGGGATCTAAAAAGGGCCTTTATAAAAATATCAGGGAAAAATTCTAGACGGTTCATCTACAATTAGTGATGAAATCTTAAATGTCAGAGTTGCCTATAAATTTGTCTTTAATATAAAAGATAAAGATAAGAGATTTGGTGAATTAAAAATTGATGAATACCTTGTAAGAATAGCTATCAATGAAGAACAGTCAAGGGAATGCTAGGAAATGAGAACATTTACAAATTAGTGAGTATCAATGCCATGCCATGTAAGGTGCTGAGGAAATGAGCTAAATACATTTACTGAACCACATATAATAATTTTTTTAAAGCTACGGAGAACTCAGGAGATGGCAAATAGTCAGAGAAAAGCAAATGTAGCACTAAAGTACAACAAAGAAAAGAAGATTGCCATAGCCAGGATCAATCTGGTAAGTGATAAGATTAAGTTCAGGACTATTCTTCCCCGAAATAATAGATCAAATAGAAGGGGAAAGGTCAGTGCCCATATAGATCTAGTCAGCTCCACTGAATTAACACCAACTATTGATGGGAGAAGATTTAGGTCAAGACTAAGAGCTTTTGAATTCCCACCCTGTAGAATCAGAGGACCAGAACAAAGCATCACAGATAAGTTAGATAGCTTCTGATAAAAATACAAATTTGGAGTCCAGTCCTGCACGCTTTACTCATGTGAGTAATCCTTAACGTGAAGACCCATGAGTCCAACAAATTAAGTGACTGCAGTGAATAAATGATGCATGAACGAAGAGAATGCAGGAAATAAAGCACATTGATTTTAGTAAAACTTTTGATGCAGTGTTTCTAACTCATGAATAAATTCATTTTGGTTTGGGTCTGAGTACTGTTATATGGATTGAAACTAGCTGAGGCTATGCCTACACTACAGTCTTTTTGTGGAAAAACATATGCAAATGAGGCTAAATGTGGACTATCACCATGCCTCATTTGCATAATTGAGTGCCCATTTTTGTGCAAAAGCCTCTTGTGCAAAAAGGGTGCTTATTAATTATGCAAATGAGGTGCGGTGATATTCCACACAGCCTCATTTGCATATGTTTTTCTGCAAAAAGGCTATAGTGTAGACATAGCCTGAGAGCGCTCCCAAAAAGGAGAAGGATCACCACTATTCTCTACAATAATAAGGCCTTACAGCCCCATGTCTCCTATCATATAGTTGGTGGCTTCCCTCAACCAAAAGTGGGGCTCCCTCCTCCCCTTCCAACTGTGATTATGAGCTTTTTTTGAGGGGGTAAGGGAATGTTCAGTTTAATAAGCCCTGATTGAGTTTTGTAGTTCAATTAGTCCACTAGGAAAGAACACATTTATTGAATGATTAGAGCATATGGAGATATACCAATATAATTCTCATGAGTCTGATCACTATACCTGGCCAAAATTATCTTTATGTAAAAGCCTCCATGTAGGAATGGAATGAAAGAAACTTCAGATGCATACTCCAAGAGGAGCCTCCCTAGCTATGTAGCACCAAAGAAGCTCTTGGGCTGCAAAAAGCCCATACACAATACTCAGAGTCTGATTCAGCAGAATGAAGAAACAGTGGAAATTAGAGTTCTATAAATGTCTCAGATACAAATAAGATGTAAGTCTCTCCCACTTTTGCTTTTGGGCCATAGACTTGAAGTATCACATCAGGAAATCTAAAAGCTATAATCATATTTTGCAAAGCAGTACTTTCATCAATATT